AAGTTGGACGCAAATACAGTGATTGTCGAATCTATTGCCGTGGAATTTTACAAAACGCGCTACAAGCCATTCGATTTTGGTTTCTCTTTCTTTTTGTAAGTATGAACATGCACGTTGTAAATATATACCAAAAACGTTCCTTAGAACAGAAATGAGGGATAAGATTAAGAGAAATGACTATTTTACGAAGGGACATGTAAATGTGGTGCATGATTATTTAACAACATCCAGGTGTAAGAAGGTGTAAGCCCAGCTTGTAGATCAAGTTTTGATGAACTATTTCCACATGACCACTAATCTCTATCGAACCGAAAAGAACACCTACATACAGCTAAACAACGAATATGTCTGAACAACAAAGAACGATATTTTGTTTACAACTTTGTCAGGTTCAATAGCTTAATTCCGTCAAGAAACTGCTGACGGTCAACACTTTTATGTGGCGTTGAAGTCACAAATCGCAAGGTCACCCGCGTGCATCCAACGTGGAGATAAAGAGACTGTTCCTTGCAATTGTGGCACCCCCTCTTTTCGTTTGATTGCTACTGAGATACGAGGCATGCTTAAACATGCCTGGTTGTTGATGTTGACGTGGATTTGTTTTCCTTGACATGAAGGGGCATTGAAATCTTCCTATGTAGGTCATGTTGTTAAGGCGTATTGTGAAAAGCCCTTCGAAGCTCCCAGCTCTGAAATGTTATTATCATCGCGACTAAATGTATTTGACGAGCACACCTGGGGGGTTGACAGCTGTTTTGACATTTTTTGGCATTTTGGAAACATTACGTTTATGTTTTGATGCCTTGATAGTGAAGGGGCATTATAGTCTGTTTGCAGTGAAAACGTACAGATGAATTTCACTTTTAACAAAAAAGTAAATCAAATAAAGTGAAATTAAGACTGCGAATCCTCATAAATTTGCCTTGCCAACTGAACATTTAAATCTCAGAATTTTATTCATTGTAGGACAAAAGTTGTTTAACAAACGATCATACATTCAAATCGCTATTATTGGTTTGTATTACAAGGGGGTTAGCGCAGTAGATGAAACAGTGAAACAAATGCACTTGCGGTTCGTGATGAGCGTTAACTTAGACCAACTCTACTTGTTCTCGGTGCTTCATTTGATGTGCATACACCCTTGTAATACAAACCAATAATAGCGATTTGAAACTATGATCGTTTGTTAAACAACTTTTATCCTAAGTTGAATAAAATTCTGAGATTTAAATGGTCAGTTAGCAAGGTAAAATTATGAGGATTCGCAATCTTAATTTCATCTTATTCGATTTACATTTTGGCTTAAATTGCCATTCAGCGGTACGTTTTCAATGAAAACAGACTTTTGGCTTGACGTCTTTCCATGTCAGCCATGTTGTTTCGGCGTATCGTGAAAAACCCTTCGAAGCTGACTGGTTCTGACATATTATTATTGTCATGACAGACTATAAGTATTGGGGAACACAGCAGGGGGTGGGGGTGGGGGTGGTGGTCGGTTGTTTATGGGGAGTAGGGTATTTGTGTTGATAGCTTATTTGACTTTCTTTGACTTTTTGGAAATATAATGTGTTTAGGTGTATCCCAGCGTGGGATTTGTTAAGTTTGTTGGTATCTCCGAGTCCTTTTAACGGTCGTTGTCGTGCTATCTTACTGAAAACTGAAAAGGAGCACAAATAAGATAAATGTATGGAATCCGAGAGGGGACATTGTCGCTATGTCGCATTGTCGCCCTCTCAAAAACAAGTAAAGTGAGGCAAAATAAACCAAAACGCGACACGCGACATCGCGACAACGCGACATTTCGCCCATTTGTCGCATTGTCGCGATGTCGCGTGTCGCGTTTTGGTTAATTTTGCTTGTATTTGAGAGCGCGACAACGCGACAACGCGACAATGTCCCTTCCAGGATTCCATATAAATGTAGATTTGGAGAAACGGTTTTACATATTGTTCGTTAGTAAAACCTACTCTTGTTCTTGGCAAGAAGATTCAAGAAATCATAGTTAAATTGTTGTTGAATTGACCATGAAATGACTAAGTACTGTCCCTTTAGATTATTTTCAGGACACCTCTTGACAGCAGGAACAGCGGTATTACATTATCATTCTGTGATGTGTATTTTCTGCACTGCAAAGACCAGAGGTCTGCAGTACGTATAATTAAGGCGGTAGGCACTTGACAAAGTAAAAAGGCCTAATGGATGTACATGGTTGTTGAATGGTGCAACAAAGATACAAATTTATAGATGTTATGCTGTACAAAGTTATAGCTTTATAAATTCATGGTTCTCAAAGAGTGGTAAGCTGGACGTACGTAGAGAAAATGAAATTCGTCTTCAATTAGGTTTCCTTTCCACAGTTTACAGATTATATTTTCCCTGTTGATGCCTGCATATATGCCTGTTTCTATAAATAAATTATTATATGAGCAGCGGAATCCAACAGGAGTAGTTCTATATTTTTTCACATTGAAAGATGATAATTGTAAACCAAAAGTCACTGTGTTCTTTAATCTGATTGGTTGAAAAACGTGATCAAATGGTATTCGATTCCCGGAAATTCGCTGCGTATTAATACATACAAACATCGCTCACACCATTGTATTGTTACGTCGTCAGCTGAGATGACGTCATTCAAATCATATTGACAACACTGAACATCTGACCCTACTGTGTTGGAATGTGAACGGTTTGAAACATAAACTATGTCTAGGTGATTTTATAAACTTCTGTATGAACTACAAACTTTGTGGTTTTATTGAAATATGGAATAACTAAAAAAGAGGACATTGAAAGTGAATTTCCAAACTATAATGTATTTTGCAACTACAGAGATTTCAATGATAGAGGAGGTGTGGCAGTATGTGTCCACCCCTCACTTATGTCTGGTTTAAAGCAGGTTGTCACCAAGTTTACTGACATGGTATTTCTTGTATTTGATAAGAGCCTATTTAGGTTTCCACGTGATGTTTTGATTGGTTTTGTATATATTCACCCTGCTACATCTTCTTTGCCGACACCGTCGGTTCCAAATGAATTCCCGTGCTTCAAATACTCAATAACACCCGGAAATTGGCCAACACATGATATTTATCTCCTAAATGTATTTCTGATAGTTTAAACATTTTGTATCAAACATTTTTATTCGTTAGAGATAAGCGATCGGTCCAATTCTGGGTATAAATATCAGTCCTCTGATGTTTTATTGATAACAGAAAATGTGGTTGTGACTCTATTCGCTGCTCATACATATAGAACGTCATACTAGTGCATTTGGATGTTTTGTATTGAACTCGAAGATGTCATGGGAGCAGAGAAACAACGAGGTGTTTCTGTGTTTCTCTGCTCCCATGACATCTTCGAGTTCAATACAAAACATCCAAATGCACTAGTATTACGTTCAATATTTATCATATACCCTCTTATCTTGCATTAATCTGTTACTTGATAAAACAAAACCTGCAGAACCGGCAAGGGTTCAATACGGAATCATCCGTATTGCACCCCTGTACCCGTATTGTTTACATGGGTATATGATAACATATATTACCAAACCCAGTAGAGAATAGTAAATGTTTTACACCTGTTACCAGTTATGTTTTGTTTATTACATGATCATTGACTGACTGACTGAGTTTGGTTTTACGCCGCTTTTAGCAATATTCCAGCAATATCACGGCGGGGGACTCCAGAAATGGGCTTCACACATTGTACCCATGTGGGGATTCGAACCCGTGTCTTCGGCGTGACGAGCCATCGCTTTAACCACTAGGCTACCCCACCGCCCCACATGATCCTTGACTGTCTCAGTGTACATGATTGTACTTGTGTCTGATAACTGGTTCGTTTGGTCCAAATTCAAGGGTGCTGGGGTAGCTTAGTGGATAATGTCTCCTCTCGTAAGCCTACTCCGAAGACCTGGGTTCGATTTCCCACATGAATACATCGTGTGAAACCCATTTCTGACGTCCCCCACCATGATTTTGCTGATATAGCTAACGGCGACAAAAGACCACACTCACTCATTCACTCACTCACTCCGGATACGATTAAGTAGGTGATATCGTGAGATAGGTTTGACATTGCTGTCGCTAAACAACATTTGGTCACTCACTTCGTGTTTAGCTGTACGTGTCAAGCTTTGTAAAAGCTCGTTTTTCTGAACACGAGTGAGTGACTGAGCTTAGTTTTACGCCGCACTCATCAATATTCCAGTTATACGGCAGTGGCCTGTAAATAATCCCGTTAGTCGCCTCTTCCGACAAGCATGGTTGCTGAAGATCAATTCTCAACCGATATCTCTCTGTAGCAATTGTCTACTAAGCTTAATAAAAGTGTGGCCGCCTTTTTCATGTAATAATCATCGTTACTCATATCTGCTGAAAATGGATTTTCAATTAAAACCTTTCTTGTCGGATGAATATATGTAAATTAATCCGCTATTATTCAGCTCTCACAAACGCACGTACACACACGCACACGCACGCACACTCGCGCGCACACACACACTGACACCGACACACATGCACGCACGCGAATATGGCCGACGCTGCTCGAAGATTGCAATCATCATCGTCGTCGTCATCATCATCATCATCTTATGTTTTACAGTCAGACTGGTTAAGCTAACCATCAACTCGGGAAGCTTGCCCAGTTTTACACGCAGCCCAGACTTATTATTACTACTACTACTATTATTCTTACCACTGACCAGAAAACAACAATGGCCTAAGGTTAAACAAAGTCCTCTTACCAAAGAATAAACAACTAATACATGTTGGTTCTTGAACCTCTACCCAGGGTCAATACACTCCGGCCATCCATTGTGACCCTGGCTACTTTTACAACATTCGCCACCCCCAGACAAAGATTTGACCACTCGCTACCCGCAATCCCCCCATCCACAGTCGTGACTCAATCCCACCCCGCGGCTCTCCATTATCAGCAACGACTGAAACCCCCTTCAGCATGAGTGGGCACAAATCAATGTTATTGTAGGTTAAGGGTATATATACCCCTTTCGTACCAACCAACAGCAGATCATTTTGTGAAGCCGAACAGATCCCGACAGAACTGCAGACCACATATGTAAGTACTTTCTTTCGATTGTGATACTTTCTGTGAAACAATTTTCTCTGACCATTTGCTTTACGTCAAGTTCATGTTGATACTGAAATGTCACATCTATCGGTCATACAGTATTGTAGTAACATATCAATTGTACATTGATTTTAAGGGTACACGGTATGAGCCTCTCTTTACCCATACCATCCTCAGAATTTCAGCCAAAATAAGAAACTTGTGTCAAAGTGATGAGATGTGTCCATATGAATGAAAAATATAAGCTGAGGGAAACAAATAAGGGAACGGATGACAGCACAAGAGTTCCTTTATTCTTTTCCAGGTTTCTTCATAAGCTTTGAAACACACTTATTGTTTTTGTAAGGCAGTGTGTTTTTAATATAGGGTAAGATTCGAAATGAATGGTAAAAATATTTGCTTTTAATTATCTCTTGACATTTGGCTTTACCTCATTTAGCCATTCCAGCGTGCTTTGACATACAAGAAGTAAACGAATTGCAAGTACGCGATAGATAAAATGGTCGTTGTCAAATATTTACAAAACATTTACTCGTGTCTGAGAGAATTTGTACATTTATTCAAGTTTTGAAAAGCTTTCTTTTTGCCCATCACAGTTAAGAAACACATTTCGGTGTTTTGTGAATATCCTCGAACTCCATGAAGTCGATTAACAAGTATGTTTTCTGACTTAAAAGCTCTCCCAAACTTTCTCAGTTCCTCTTTCTTACACTTAAAATGCATCCCTTCAGTTTGATTGACACAAAACATCCAATCCTAAAAAAGGTAGTTTGTCCAAGACCTTTAACTTGAATTTAAATATTCCAACAGCTTGAGGTTTTGATGTTTAAATTTCACTTTTAAGGTACAATCGCGTATGCTCTTTTTGTCAAGATTTCAAACAGCGTCATGCATGTCCAGCTGAGAAGTTGTTCGATTAGAGTGACGACCTTCAAGGCTTCAGTAGTGCTCTAAAAAAGTTTCATGGAAGTTGTGTGGAGGACATTTCCAAACATGAAGCATCAGTGATGTCCGAGGCATATAACATTTCGAGTTGCACTATTCGTTGCCGTGTTTTTCACGTGGACAATTGACTAGCCTTGGCATGTGTTTATGACTTGTGCCACTGGTGAGAAGGATATGCTGACCTTCTCGTGCACGTCTGGTATAATCACTATTTGAAATTGATTCATAAACACATGCTCATGATATAGTCGGAATCGAAAACAGATTTCTAACGAATCTAGAAAGATATTTGTCGCTTTTATTTGTAAAGAGTATATCAATATTAAACCAGAACTCCCTGTACCGTGTGTATTCATACTGTGCCTGTTGTTCTTGTCACGGGATGGTACAAGGCTCCTTACCATTCCATGGGCTTATTGTTTGTTTGTTGGTTTGTTTGTTGGTCTGGACCAGACAATCCAGTGATCAACAGCATGAGCATCTATCTACGCAACCGGGATACGATAACATGTGTCAACCAAGTTAGCGAGCCTGACCACCCGATCCCGTTAGACGCATGGGTTGCTGAAGACCAGTAAATATTATTCTAACCCGGATCTTCACGGGCTTAAACTGATATTATATACTGCAAGCTGTCAAGATAATCCAACACAAGATAATATATTGGGAGTCTATTTGTATATTTGTATGGATTTTATCTGTATCTGTTTCTTTGTTTTCAGCCTCAAAATGAAAGCACAGTGTGTTGCGTTGCTGTTTGTGATGGGCGTGGCCTTCGTCACAGCAGGCGGTGTAGAAATGACAACAGACCCAGCCCCACCCTCGCCACCCTTTGGGGGAATTCTGGAAGACTTATCGGTAGGCAACAGTGCTTCTATAGACGTCGTCATCCGCAATACGTTTCATGTTTATTTGTAGCTGTATGGGGCGGTGGGGTATCCTAGTTGTCAAAGCGTTCGCTCGTCACACCGGAGACCTGGGTTCGATTTCCCACATGGGTACAATGTGTGAAGCCCATTTCTGATGCCCCCCACCGTGATATTGATGGAAGATTGCTAAAAGCGACTTAAAACTAAACTCACTCACTCACTCACTGCAGCTGCATGGTTGATTTGGTTCCGACTTAAACTTGGTTTAAACTCAAACTCACATCGTCACCAATCTTCAAACAACACGCATATAGAGACATGTAAAGATATACAAAGGAAGTAGATATATACAGGAATGCTCCATTTAGCCACAATGTGTCACTTTGTAATGTAACCACACACACACTTACTCACGCACACACAAACAAACAAACAAAACCATACACTCACACACACTTTCCACCTAAATGACATTTTATCTCCATTTTTCATTTGTGTTTTCACAACCCCAACCTACGTTTTCTCGTCTTTTGGTTTACGTTTATTTTAATGTCCCTTCTTAATTCTAACCAGCTTAATTACGGTCTGGATATTTATCTTAATAGAATGGAGAAAAAAACCCATCTTGCACAAGCGAGGATGGATCATGCAGCGGAGGATGGTGCATGTATCCAGGCCCAGATAATGAAAACACGTATTAAAAACATAAACAAGAGAGAAAGAAGGAGAAGACGTAGATTTCAGTTTGCCACCAGGTTTAAAAAATTGTCATCCTATTAAATCGTTGTCCATCTTCTCCAGGCTCCTGTCACAGTGCGGGACCTCTTGGCTCTCGGCTGCATCCGAGCTCTCCAAGAACAGGAGCTGCTGGGGGAAGTATTCCGCGAGAGGAATCCAACACCAACTAAACGCGGCCAAGAGCTGGCCATCCTTCTTGGTCGCGTTCTGTCCCGTGATAGGCGGGCCCCTCATCCTAATAAGCTCGTGCAAACATGCCGAACCATCCTGCTTGGACCACGAGAACCAGAAGAACCATAAGGTAAGAGAGTTCTTCATTCCTAGTAGGCCGCCGATGTGGCCGAGTGCACATATGGATAGTGCACATGCCCGGAGAGCTGAAGGTCTGTGGTTTTGTTAAGCCCGGTTGCGTCAAACCAAACGAATTAAAGAATGGTACTTGTTTTCACTCTTTCCGTCGATCGGCACTAAAGTCGCCACTAAAGTGAAATAATCTGTGATCTTGGCATTAAGGGACCCTTCTCACCTCACCTCACTCCTACCATGTTTTGTGTCATTTATTAACAGAACAGGATCGGCAGTGTAACACGTCACTTAACTCCTCAAAAACGTGAAGATTTTAGCTGTGCAGGTCACTTGGAAATATCTATAGAAACGTCACGAGATTGTGTAGGGCAGCTGTGAATTCGTGCTTTAGAAGGAAATGTTGTGCTTTTGTCATATCAGCTTGTAATTGTTTCCGTTTCGTCTTTTATACAGACTTTAATGTCATATGCTGTTCTATGTCATGTTAGTGAGTGAGTTTAGTTATCCTCCGCTTTTAACAATATTCCAGCTTTATAACCAGAAATGAGCTTAAGGCATTTTACCCATTGGGGAATCAAACCCAGGTCTTCGGCGTGACGAGCGAACGCTTTAACACTAGGCTACCCCGCCGCCCTCTATGCTATGTGAAGCTGCAAGGTGTGATACTGTAATGTATAAAACAGGTTTTTATGAGATGTTGAACTTTTTGCTTGCAGATGGGAACCCGAGAGCCAACAGATGTCGTCAGAGAGTGTCGATGACGGACACGGTACTGATACTCAAGATACAGCTTCCATCAAGCCCTACAGCTTCCATCAAGCCCTACAGCTTCCATCAAGCCCTACAGCTTCCATCAAGCCCTACAGCTTCCATCAAGCCCAGTGCTGAACAACACAGACAACAACAGACTCATAAGTTCCATATTTTTTTAATCGAATAAATGAAATCCAATAATTCGATATGTTTCTTCGTTATTCATGACGGGATAAGTTTGTTTACAATCAAGACCTAAAGCTTGTTATTGGTGTGCATGATCAGTTTTTTGCGTACAATACGTCATTTACAAGTTGAAAGAAACTCATCGAAGTCGGTAAAGCAAAAGAGAGACACATGCATAAATAGAGAATCTCACCAAAGTGTCTTCTGATATCAATTATATCAATACGAGTTGATAAAGTTAAAAATATCCGAGGCTTGCCGAGGATATTTTAACTTTTATCAACGAGTGTTGATATATAGGAGCACCTTTAGAATGCAGCACCACAACTTCTCGTGAGGACGATCTCTGCCGTAGGTCACGTGTCATTAAGACAAGCAACCAGTTTGTGAGAACCCGTCGGACGCGAACCCGCGACCTTCGGATTGTTACCTCGACAGCTAACCGACTGAGCTACGTCCACACTGTTGCGAAATGTGCAAATTTATCGAGTCATGCCTGTGACGTCACGGAATTGAACGGAAAGAGTCGAATAGGTCACGGACAATTACGAATGCTACGGGTAGACTTGGTGTCTTGTGATTTTATTCTCCGGACAATTGCCGAATGGATCCGATGCCATTTGGCACACTCGTCCCATTCCGTAATCTACAAATTAACGTGTGGCGTGGAATGAGCCGATATGCCTCTAACTGAAAAGGGTTGTTGACGTCATATGTAGATTTCACGGTGCATCATGAATGACGCGCTTTTATATAAATCGGTGATTTTGTGACAGAAAAGTGATGTAGGGAACACTGTAAGGATAATGTGGATCGCACTAAAGAACGAGGGAGACATGAGCATGTGTAGTGACGGCACTCGGGTGAGTTAGCCTTCGAATCATTACTTTACAAAATTTATGTTGCGTGTGAAAGAGGCTTGAGTGCCAATTCCAGACCAATTTCCATTAGCCCAAAATTTCTACATTAAACCATTTCATAATGTACTTTCAACGTTTTGGGTTTCCCGTTTTTGTGTGAAAAAAAGAAGACACGAGGGTGAGATTCTATTTATCATCCAAAATCACTCTTCATTAGTTTTCAATAAACGGTCTGAACACGGTTCTGCCATTAGATTTGCAGTGCAGCGATGTCATAGCATTGTGATGTCATCAAGTTCATGACGTCATAGCATTGTCAGGGCATTGTACAAAATCTACTGTCAAAACGATATCTCCTAGGAGATATCATATGATCTCACACAAGCGATATCTCCTATGGAACAGTTTTGGATGATAAAATGAGATACCATTGTGGCATCATTAACTTAATTACATCATTACAAGGAGTAATTCAAGCAGTTGGCGACCTTTAACACTATTAGTGCGTGATTAATGAATCATCTCATGTAGTAACACATGGCACGATCTCACCTGTATCTCTATATGATGCATATCTTCCTGCATAAATGTAAACAGACATTTGTACATTTGTGACATAACCTGACACCCCGTGGCTTAGCTCACTGCTGAAAAGCATGATAGATTTGATGGTTCGTGGAATGCAATTTCAGCTATTTCATTGAGTGCAGGTAGTAATTCAATTGGAGTAAGCTGCCATTACTGTGAGTCAAGAAGATTAACAACGTATGTCAAATACGTGTTTTTAAGCAAACTCTCCATGGCTAGCTACTGATTCACAATGAAAGTTTGTGTGAAGCGTTGTTTTTCTGTAGTTTGATTGATAATTTCAAAGTTTCAAGTCAGAAAACCAAAGTGTGCGCCATAAACCCTACACCTACTGATGACGGCACAGCCAACCAATGCTCTCTTTACTTCCGGGTCCATATCATGACACAATATTCATGGCATCAGTTCTTGAGAAAATAAGATGGATTTCTTTTCCATTTAATATTTGAGTGAATGAGTGAGTGAGTTTAGTTTTACGCCGCACCCAGCAATATTCCAGCTATATGGCGGCGGTCTGAAAAATAATCGAGTCTGGACCAGACAATCCAGTGATCAACAGCATGAGCATCGATCTTCGTAATTGGGAACCGATGACATGTGTCAACCAGGATTGAATAGTTGAACCCTAATTTATAATGTGCTAGAAAAGGAATAGAGAATTTTGCTCTCATTACTGAAAATAATGTGGTGATCTTGGAGGCTGACATCCGAGGATCATCATATTGCCATCAGAGGCTGGACATTTGATATAATATTGGTCGATTCCACTCACTATGGTGTATCCACCCAATCTGTATATTCCTATTTACTCGAGCTTCTCATTATTTGGGCCCCGGATGAAAAACGAAGAGTTGTTTACACAGATATACACAGAAACACACACGCACAAACTCACGGGCGCACTCTAACACTTACATAAACACACCCTCACTGAAGTTACCTCCTTTCAAAAGCAACGGCTGCAGGGTTGACATGATATATTGCGCTGCTTTATAAGTCCGAGAAACGTGGTAAAAAAAAGTGTGTGCCGTCACAGAGCATTAATACTCACCTTTCTTCCTGCTTTCATTATGAATCAGTAGCTTGCCATGGAGAATTTGCTTTTAAACATGTGTATGACATACGTTGAATAAATGTTGAATGAATCACAATAATGGTAGCTTACTCCAATTACTACCTGTACTCAATGAAATACTACCGTTAGATGTAAAACAATACACTGTTTGCGTGCACATGATTTACATATGTGAGTATATTTACATATATGCAAATATACACACATGTGTAGAAGTAAGTTACTGTGCGTTTGTATGATAATTCAGCAAAGTACGTAAATAGGGTATGTAAATATACTGAGTCAAAAAAGAAACTTCACATTCTTTCTTCAGGGCACTATAAAAGAACAAGAGATGGTAAGATGGTTAAATTGTTATTATTTCATTGCTGAGACCTGTGTGATGTACTCGATACACTGACAGTGCCATAATCAGTTCCATTAGGCTACACCGCCGTTCCAAACATGGGTATACAGAATGTCAAGTCACAAGAATAAAAATGCGAAATTTCGCAGTTCAATATCGTGTATGGCCGCCCCGCGCATTCACCACTGCCAAACACTGTCTCCTCATCGACTGCCTGATGCTTGTGAACACGTGGTTGGGGATTCTGCGTCATTGCTCTTGCAAGGCAGCGCCAAGTTCCTGCAAATTCTGAGGTTGGTTCCTAAGACCACGAAGCCCTCTCCCAAGTGCATCCCAAACGTGCTCTATTTGATTAAGGTCAGGGAACCTCGATGGCCAGTCCATGACGTTGATTCCAGCGGTTTGAAGGAATTTTCGTGTCAACATCGCGGTATGCGGCCGAGCATTATCATGCTGGAACTGTACACCTGGGCCATGAGCCGCCATGAAAGGAACGAGTTCAGGGGTGAGCACCTGGTCGCGGTAAGCAGCAGCTGTGAGGTTTCCACGGATGACCAGAAGTCGGGAACGGTTGTTCCCACAGAAAGCACCCCACACCATGCAACTGCCGCCCCCGAATCTGTCGACTTCCTGTACACAACATTGGGCATACAGTTCACGACGTCGTCTCCAGACTCTATGCCTGCCGTCCGCGAATCTGAGGGTAAACCTGGATTCATCGCTAAAGACGACTTGATTCCAGTCTCTCTGGGTCCATCGGAGGTGACGTTGGGCCCACAGCAGACGTTGACGTTGATGAAACGGCGTCAATATTGGCCCACGATATGGACGTCGAGAATGGAGATTGGCAGCCCGCAACCGATTTCGAATGGTCTGTGAGGACAGTCGACCTCTAAACATTTCAGCCCTGGTTCGTGTAGCCGGCAGAAATCTGTCACGTAGGTGACGTAGTACGATTTGACGGTCTTCTGCTCGTGACGTAACACGTGGACGACCCGACCTTGGGCGATCAGAAGTGGTGCCAGTTTGTTGTAGACGACCTCGCAAGTCATACACAGTACGACGGCTGCATCCCATTGCTTTTGCGACGTCAATAACTGATCTTCCCGCTTGCAACATGCCAAAGGCACGTTCACGTTGCACATTTGACAATCGTGGCATTTCAAGTACCGTTAGAACTGTGGTTTAAAAGTGTTTTTTCAATTCTTGAGGCCAATGCAAACACGTGCATATGAAGAAAACTTCGATGCGAAGATCACGTGATCGACTGCACGTGCAAAACCTGATTTGGCACTAACATCATTTGCACGACGAATGGATGGGTTTGAGTGGGTTTTGCTAACGTTTTTCTAGAGCCGAAAGATAGGGATCCCATTTCGGATACATAGATGTATCATCAGAGAAAAATTATTCATTATTTTTCAAATTACATTTTGTGAAGTTTCTTTTTTGACTCAGTATATTATTTTCATTCAACTTTTCATTTACATTTAGTCATAAGCTAGACGTTGTAGTGGACAACCAAGTTCCCTACCAAGACATGCAATCGCTATAGTGGGACGATATGATATCCGAGACGTCATTCAAAGTTTCGAGAAAAAGTGGAATTTCCCAAAGTGTACGGGAGCAATAGTCGGCTGCCACAGTCCTACATTTGGCCCACAAGAGTCCCACAGGGACTACCTGAATAGAAAAGGGTGGCACTCACTGATGGTGTACCCCCAGTTTGCCAGCAGCCAGCAGGGAATTAACTGGGATTAGAGGACACACATGAATGAGCGTGCAGTTGTTCCCTGTGTAATATGGTCCGGGGTAATTAGGCTACCCATAACATTGACACTGTGAATTCTTTCATTTATTACCCGCGAAGATCCGGGTAAGAATATTGACCTTCAGTAACCAATGATTGTCGTAAGAGGCGACTAATGGGATCGGATGGTCATGCTCGCTGACTTGATTGACACATGTCATCGGTTCCCAATTGCGCCGATGGATGCTCATGCTGTTGATCACTGGATTGTCTGGTCCTGACTCGATTATTTACAGACCGCCGCCGACAACCATAAGGCAATAGTAGCAC